TATTAGGCTCTTAGGATTTGCTTGTTGGCAGGGAAAAGTATGTTAAACTTTACACTGACTTATATTTATTAAAGATTATAACTTTTATGATGAGAACCAACTAAATGAAATGTATCCACTTTATTGTGCACCAGTGTTTGTTCTTTTTCTGCTCAAATTTATAAAATGGAATTCCTGGGTTAAATATATTGTTTAATTCGTTTTTTGAAAGTAAAAGCTATTGTAGGAAGCAGGGTCATTAGGTTTGACGTGATTCTACTTTATGTTCTAATTGTTTAAAAATAGTGCCTACCATTTCGCCAAATACGAAGAAAATACAGTTTATACTTTGACTACTAACAAATTATAAGTAGCCAAGATAAGAGTCCAACAATAATTTCAAACATTATCACACTGGGGATACAATTACATGCAGATGACAAGAGCTAAATAGTGTGGAACGCGAGTTCTAAATTCTACTTCTCGCCAAAATCAACGAAATAATCAGAAATAGTACCATAGTATCTTAATCGAGTGTTCTCTTTTGCACTTGAAGTGAACCCTGTTTATGTTCGTGAGTTGAACTGATAACTTACAGGAGTGAGTGAATACAACTTGCAAATTATTGTGAAATTTGTAATTTACACAAGTGAAAGTGAAATTTCACCAAAGTTTCCCATGGAAAGCGAAATTATTCATATCACAGTATGTAGGCTGCTTCATACCATAAATGCCAATCAACAAAGCAGGTAAAGATGCACGACGCTATATATTACTGATTGAGAGGTATGAGCGGTTTTATATCATCTATATCAACCAGTAGTGCTTGCTAGCTAGTTTGAAGTGATTTTAACACCGACTGCCACTTTTTTAACTGAAATACCTATCAAGTTAAACATAAAGTAAACTGATATACTAAGTATCGAAATCATTCTGACTTTTTCTGTCAGTATGTTTTTATCCTTGTAATACTGTTAAATCTGCTAAATCTGCTCAGAGATAGAAAAGATGTTTCTTTAAACAGACAGAAGTTACTCAAGGAACGGAAAGTAATTACTATAATTCATACTTCAGTGATTTCTGATACAGTCATATCTCGAATCATTGTAGAAGATTTCTAGTTTAAATAGATATTTTAGATATCGCTGTATTCCCTGAGCTAGATGACTTGCTTGCAAAGCTTTCAATACTAAATTCAGTGTGAAGTGAACTCTGGAAGTTCTTCGTGGATAGAATATTTATACATCCTGGTGACTTTCCCTGTGTTTTGTTACTCCCATAGATTTGCTTACGGTCATATCCGCTATTTTTGAAATTGCCCCTTTCGTTGACCTAACATTTGAGCTTCTGCCAGTGTGTACTATTTTTAGAGGATTAGTAAATTCAATCTATATTCACTTTTCTGTTCACTGAAATTTTATTTGGCCACTTGGCCTTTAGAAAACTTCTCTTCGTGTTTCCTTTTATCTAAGATTTTTTACACAGTTCCAGTTGATTACATATTCTCATTTATCCGCGTGGATCATCATGAACGAAGACCTTTGACTGCTAGACACAAATGATGGTCACTATCGGCGATAAATATTTCACCCATAAGGAACTCCTAAAGTTCATTTCCGGGGTTCGATCCCCGGCTGACGCATCCTTTACCTCACTAAGCCAGAAATAATGCTGGTGAAGAGGAAACGTTGGGTATGAGGCTAGCTACTTCAAGCCTCTAGCTTGAAACCCTATGTTCCACTGGGAACGTAAAGGAATAAAAAAAGTTCATTTCACATCTAAATTTACACTGAAAGTGTTGTCCAGTAAGATATTTAAGATTGAATGATTGAACTGTTCTGTTCAGACGCAAAATTACCATCATAAATACCATATTTCACCGTATGCTGACGTACTGTTTATCAAATGATGAGAAAATCAATCCCAAGATTTAACAAAGTCCACAGCCATTTCATATCATTTGAAAGTAATCATCCTAACATATTTTGTAATTAAAGATAAACTACAAAAACCTTTATTATAATGAATATCATATACCCAATGCCCAAATTTTTTCAAACCGTTAAAAGTGAACTTGGTTTGGACATATATAAAGATAAACTACTTATGAGTAGATAAAAGTAAACAGAAAATTATTTCAAATGTCAATAGCGAACGTTTGTGTTTATGTCTCAAGCAAATTCATGACTAATTAGCCACAAAAGATAAATAAGATTAATCATACCCTGTAGACAAAGAAATTATTATCTACAATGGTATATTAGGGGTGAATCATAATAACATATTACAAACATTATCTGGGATTTATTGACAGAATTCCATTTCCGCACATTTCTGCATACTTATTAACTGACACAAAGGAACGAAAATCAGATAAAATTCGCAGTAATTCTGGATTTTTATCTAAATATGATGTTACTTTTCATAAATAATAAAGTTATCTTTACCCTTCACATAAAATATTTCACCTAGAATAGTGGCCACATTGCAAACCTGACTGATAGAATTCAGTCAGTACCAAAGAAAGGAATAGACACATTTAGATATGATAGAGAAGATTTGTAGGATTTGTAGGAATAGACACATTACACTAGTTACTAGTGTCCAATCAAAATACACACTGCAGTCGTACTGGAGGTCAATTGCAAGCCCGAATAGCTCAGAGATAAAGTCTCTGACTGCAGCACTGGGTGACGTGGGTTCGAATCTCATAAGAGACATGAGTTTATAGATAAGCCTTGCTGACGAGTGCCAACTAGCACGAAACCCAAGTTCAAGGCTTCCTGCCGATTGCCTCCAACTATCCAATATCATCAAACTACTGTGTACTGTTATGGTGAGGTACCCAGAATAGTGGCCACATTGCAAACCTGACTGATAGAATTCAGTCTGCACCAAAAGAAATGACTAGACACGTCACACTAGTTACTAGTGTCCAGTCGAAATAGCAGCACTCGCTGAAATCAAGGTATGTTGGCGTAATAATCCTTAAATGAAACGAAAGCATGCCGCCTGGACTACGGTTACTGCACGCTAGATGATAAACTGGGAGTAAGTGGCACAGCGGTAGAATGCTCGCCAACCACGCATGTTTTCGGGGTTCTATCCCTGGCTAACGCAATCCTTCGCCTTAATAATGAGTAATAAGGATGGCAAGGACGGTAGGTTGGTCATGAGGCTATCAACCCCATCCTTTAAAAATAAAAACTACTGCTACCGGAACTTCAAATTTCTAGCTTGAATCTCTATGTTTCAGTGGAAACATAAAGGAATAAAAAGAAAGACGAAAAACAAGTCCCTTTGTTGGTAGAAACTCATCTATTCAGTACAGTCAAGTAGATAATATAAAATTGCATGTTTGCATAAATTTTTATACAGGACTTTAGAGATTAACTTTTCTGATCAACTACCTCAGTCACATTTATTAGTCACACTGCTGTTCCTCATTTTTTACATCTACAAACTTTACTGCTCTTCTAATCATTTATAATACAGGAGTTAACCTGAATTGATTTGGTGGATAGTGACTAGCAGTAGAATCCATGATGAGCATTTTGTCCTGTTTGGAAGTTCTCAACCAGAAATGCCTGCATTCCCCAGTGGGTGACGGTTTTCTCACTAAGACTCCAATCCAATACCCATCGTTTCAAACGCCAAAGTTTCGTCTCCGAGACTACTTGGATGAAAAATGCATCCTGGATTATAATGCTAATTACCATGCACCAAATTACTTCAAGTTGAACCTCAGACATCGTCGAAACATCCACATAAGGAGCCGACATGTCAAAAGAGGCTGAATATTTCGGTCCTACCAATCAATGGGGAAATCAAAATTGAATTAAAAATAAATAATATACGTCAACCCTCTACATAACATATTATACGTATCACTTTCAATTCCATATTGGTTTGCTTTTGCATATATCACACAGGGGAACAGTATTATTCACTGGATAACGTTTCGAACACTATTTATCATTCAAAATAGTATCAGCAAATATAAATTTACTGAAACAGTTTTTTCTATGGTATTCTCTACTTGACAATATGTGTTGACTAATATCTTCCTACATGCGTCGATGGTACGGCGGTAGAATGCTCGACGACCACACATATGGTCAAGGGTTCGATCCCCCACCGACGCACTGTTTTACCTCTCTAGGCCAGTAATAAGAGTGGTAAAGAGGGAAGGTTGGGTAACCGGCTAGCAACTCCATCCCGTAAAAATAAATATCACTGCTACCGAAACTTCAAGCCTCTGTCTTGAAGCCCTATGTTCCACTAGGAAAGTGAAGGAGTAAAAAAAATCTTTATACCCTGCTCTATAACAGCCCGTCTTAAAAATAAAAAAAAACAGTATTAAGTTTCCTGAGCTTGTGCTCTATCGTTTAAGCTACAAGGCAACTGAATAGTTACTGTGACTAGTAAAGTGCCAATTACTAATTTTCAAGTGTTGATTTTTGAGGAATTTTATTGATTTTAAGTCAAATTTCATCACAAACCGATGTCATTTAGAGAACCAATAAAAACCAGATAGTACTGAACAGGTGTTTAGTCCTAGTTTTACTGTTAAAGATCCATAATGCCATCGCGGATTCAACCCAGTACTTTGAGGTTTTGAGGAAAGTGACTTATCACTTATCCAGTATTCTATGGTACCTACCTTCTCTCCATTTGCGATATATAATGCCACTACAGGCTAATATCATTAGTGGCTAACTGTCCTCACACCTGAGTTTGTATGCTTACGACTAGCGACTTGTCACTAGAACTCCAAGAAATCCATCCGGTAGCCAGTCATTAGTGAGCACTGGATCAAAAGCCGCTCAGTGGTCCAGAACTGAGAAGAAATATCTGTCAAATACTTCTTTCTTTTCACCGTTTCCCCGACGGACTTCCGTTCATAAGGAAATCATCATTTATTTATAAATAACTAAAGATTTGACTGAATAGAATGTATCAAGGTCAAATTTATTCATTCTTAAGACATAAAAAGACAAGTGATAATGAGCATAACTTACATTCACAGATCCTGTAGACGTAGTTCTTCCTACACTCTGTTGAGATTGTGAACGTTTTGTTGTGTCTAGTTGAGAATAATGACTTGCAGGTTGATAATAACCTTTATTAGCTCCATTTTTCACTGTCGTTGACTTTGATACAATCGTATAACGTCCAACAGGATTGTTAGACTTATTAGCATATCCATTTGTCTGTCGAATCCCATTGTAGTTTGTTTGATTTGAATTTCGATTATGCGTAAAGTCATTCATTTGATTTGACTTGATCATGTTGGACATGTTTAATGACACCTAATGGTCGAAATAGGTTTTTTGAATAAAAAAGTCAGTTATACTGCACATATTAATGACTGATAACAAAGTTAAGAAGACTGTATTCAATAATCTCTGAAATATTAATGTCATAATTTGATTATAAATGTACAAATTTTAGAAGTCAGGAGGTGCTGTATCAATATCGTATGAACTATACGAAAATACTGCTAACTGCTAAATTATATGATAGATCCTGGGTTATAATTTTGCGAACAAATAGTTTAGGTGGTGTGACTATCTGAGATACCTGAAGGTGAAATGAGTATCGAGATCGGGACAGGATCTGAAACAGCAGCCTCTAAATTACTAGTCAGACATTCTACCAACTGAGCTTCGGGACTCGATTGCTAACCAGGCCATCACTTTACTTCAGTGATAATGAGCAATACTTTGTCATGCGAATGAATGATACATATTCAAACCGACAAATCTAATCAAAAATAAAATAAATCAACTGAAAGATCCCATAAAAATGATGGATAAAAACAACTTGATTTACAAAATATCTTGTGCTAACTGTCCAACTAAATATGTGGGGCAAACGTCCAGATTACTCAAAATAAGAGTGAATGAACATAAACGCCTAACCAAAGGTCAACCAACAGGAACACAAGCCTACAAGAATCTTGAAAAAATTCATTGATAGCTGCACATGCATGGGATAAAAACCACAATATCGATTGGGACAATGTGTGTATTCTAAAAACTAACATGAACAAATGGAAAGAAAGACTTATAACAGAATCGATATTCATTAAAGTCACACCGGATACATGTAACACGGGGGGACTCAGTACAACTATCAACAACTTGGAATATAATTCTGAATACAAACACATGAATGGACGTGGAATACAACTCAAATACAAAAAAACAAAAAACAAAACATGAATGAGCTAAAATAATGAGCTATATATATGCGTACAAATCATAAATGTGTGAATCAAACAATTCCAACAGTGGTGTGAACACGGGCAGTAATTTTGCTCGAAATATTACCAATAACAAAACTTATCATTGTGTGTAAACTATTGAAATATAATTATACTTTAATAGAATTCACAGTTTGCAATCTAACTGCATATTTTGAATTTGATTTATGGTGTCACCAGCTCGCTCAAGTAGCTAGCCAGAAATCAGGCGGTTTGAACTCATACAGCTGTCTGATCTCAGTCCAGTCGGGTACACGATTGATGAGCTCAACCCCATGTGAGTGGAACCACTAGCCAGATCACTTTGATCTGGCTGGTAATCACTACTGGCTTGGTATACAACTACTCATCGCTATGAATCAGTCGTATATAGTTTTCTGGGAGTGAATTATACTTAACTATCTGTTTGTCATCACGCCAGGTTAGTCATGTATCATTTGCTCCCAAGATAGGTGGGTAATATCCATGAGGACTGAAGTGATGATCTGATTATCAATTGAATTTCAGAGCTCATCTGGGATAGCAGCCACCAAGATTTTCGTTTCCCCCATCAATAGTCACCTAATAAAACAAATTAAACTTTTAAACTGCATTTCTATACTTTATACGCAAGATCTGTAACCAGCATCTTCAATAAAATGTTCAGTATTGGATAAGTTGACAGGCATTTGCTTAAGATTAATTAAAGAATGAATGAAAAGCATTGATAAAACTTTGGTATTTTATGTTTTTTTCGCTACTGATTTCTATCTAACTTGGAAAAATTGACGTGGGATTGTAAAAGAAATGCACTCCTGTGTAGTGTAGACAGCCATGAATTAGATAAATAAATGAATAAATAAATAAATGAAGATGTTTGAAATTAGCTTCAAAAGTATATGGCATCAGTTCACCTGATGCTTACGTAAAATATACAAACCAAAAACTGAGCCAAAACTTGTGGAAAGATCAGTGTGCAGTCACCTAATGGTGAGATATTCATACATAACATCACATTCATCACTAATACAGTCACGTGAATTCTACAAGTTGTAGTACAGTCAGTGACGAGAATCCAATTGAAAAGACAATATTTCTTCGCTCCATTTATTGTCTTCCAAATGTTTAAATGAGGATTCAAAGATGACATCTTTTCAAGCATACTCACTCCTAAAATATGGTTAAGACATGTAGATGATACTTTTGTAGTGCTAAAACGAGATCTACACAGTTCATTCTTGGAGAAAATAAACAGTCTTTCTCCCAGAATCCAGTTCACTTCAGAAGCAGAATCAGACGTCGGTGAACTACCGTTTCTAGGCTGCCTAGTTAGGAGGAGGGAAAACTGACATTTTAGTATACCTATATTCAGGAAGAAAACCCACTCCAATAAATATGTAGACTTCGGATCATCACACCCCGTCGGTGCAAAGGTATCAGTTGTTTCAAGCTTTCTTAGATGAGCACACTTTCTAATAGCGGATGAGAAAGAAAAAGAAGAAGAAGAAATAACAAACAATACTGAAACTCTCAAGCAAAACAACCACCCAAAGAACTTCATCAACAAAATCAAGTATGGTCGAAAATGTATTCCGAAAACATGGACCTCAACATTGGTCATTCCATATGGAGCGGAGACATCAGAAAATATCAGAAGGGTACTCAACAAGCTCGACATCAGAGTTTTCTTTAAAACACCAGACACTACGAAGCAAACCTGTCCATATAGAAGACCAAATCCCCAAAGATTCTCTATCGAATTGTGTCTATAAAATAAAATGCTTGGACTGTGATGCTATATACATTGCACAAACATCTCGAGAAATCAAAGTCAGAAGAAATGAACAACGTAGAGCATTTGTCCAACCACTGAGAAATCCAGATGAACTAGAAAAGTTTGAAAAATCATCAACCATAGGTCTACACACTATAGAATCAGGTCACAAAATTGATTTTGACAATATTGAAATAGTCCAGAAAAATTTCAGAAATCAAGAAGAACGTCTAATATCAGAAGCACTTCATATCAAATGGAATCCAAATTCTCTGAATAGGAATGATGGACTGAAACAGAATCTGACCTGGTTACAACACCTCCCTCCCCCATGAAGTGACAAAATCAACACGAATGTGATAAGCAATTTCATTATGTAAACATGCTGATTTTATAATTTTACACACTTGTTATCTTTATCAGTTGGTCAACTTGACTGAGCGAAAATGACCCTATGCTGAGGAGCGATGATCAAGCTGTTATATATAAGCTGAGATTTTGTAAATACTGGTTTAATAATACTTTGATAAAGCTATTAGCAGTATTAAATAGCGAAACGTCAGGAAAAATATCTTTTTGTTTTTCATTCATCAGGAAATACAAAAAAACCTTTATTATAATAAATATCATATACCTAATGCCCAAATTTCTTCAGACTACTAAAATTTAACTTAGTTTGGACATATATAAGGTTTTTATCTACTATTATACATATATATATATACTTGGTTTTTCCTAAATCAAACCAGATAACAAATTTAACGGTCAAACTGACTCTAAGATCCCCTTTTTTTCTGATTCACATGAATTCTTCGTGTAAGGACATCACAGAACCTCTCTCAGTAGCTGAAATGAGTCCTTAATTCAGTAATTTACCTTTATTATTCTTAATTATTCCTCACAACTAACATGAATTTTAGACATTGACCAACACTGTCACATCAGTAGTAACTGTAGACACATGAAAAGAATGTCAAGCATCGATCCGCTTATGTTCATCTAGTGAATAATTCACTCGTTATAGGGTCAGTGGGCGACTGTTCCCTTTAAATTTATGATAATTTGTAGACATTCCAAGATAATTAAGGAAATCAATAATACAAGGATGCATGTTAGATCTTCAAAATACTGATAAAAAATAGGAGAGTAAGATTTCGCCAGAAATGCCACAGGATTTATGCACTTTCGTCCTATAGTCAATGTTTTTTTTATGTAAGCTGCATGTAGCACAGCGAAATTACCTGACGCTGGATACAAATTACAAGTAACTTTCGCATGTGAAAGGTTTTAATTTCATTTATTTATTAGACATTTCAAGTGTATTTAATCAGTCGTTTGGAAATTATCGATAAGATGCATTAAAATGTATAAGAAAATTGACATTTAACAACCTGCTTATACCTGCCTAGTGTGTGCTTAGACTAACGGTCATCTTACTTTTTTGTTAGTATTTTCTAATATAAACAGGCGTAGAATTTCTTTTTATAACTGACAGAGAATAAATTAGGTGAAATCTTCTTTCCTACAATCGATAGCTTAGTGTTAAATAGGCTAGATAAAAACAGAGATTGACACGTTAGTTGGCTTCTACATTTAAACCAATCGGTGAAGAGTAAACTATGGTGTACAAATCTTGACAGGAATACGTCTATGAAGCTATTTATACTACTAACTAATCGACATTTGTAGTTGGATAGCACTCACACCAACGAGTAGCGCCACCTCCTAGCCGAATAGAAATGATCTAGACATCGAAGAGCCGTTTGGTTTGTTAGCAGCCCAAATCATCATCTGAGAAATAAGTCTAGAATTCGAAAACAGAATCGCTTGCTTCAGTTTGGAATTCAAACAAATGCCTGTCTAAGTGTGAATTCAGTGTATCGGTTTTTTTAAGAAAAAATTCATATCTTAAAGTCGATACACTTTCATCAAAAAGCTGTGAGAATTCAAGTTGGCAAATTAGTAATCTAGTTTATTACTAGGTCACGGAAAGCAATGAAAATAAGCATTTATGTACTACAGAAATTTTAGCGCGATTTATCGAAGCAAAGATGTATAATGAGGGGTCTAATTTTCCTACCCAAGAAGAAGAAGAATAAGAGAGAATGAAAACCACAACTGTTCAAACTCTAAATTATTGTTTATATAAACATCGTTGTTGAATAGTTTATACAATGTTAATAAGGCGCCATGAAATATCGACTAATAACTTCTTCTATGGGTTTTTCAAGTAATTGGGAAGTTATTTGCTTTTTATATAATAACTTATTCTGGGAATAATTGCGAACCAC